ATTATATTAAACTATCTTTTAATCAATTCTTGTTATTTATATCCTTCTGGTCTTGCTCGGATTAACCCCATCAGGTCCCTTTAATAGAGAGGGGCCCGACAGGAACTAACTAAAAAAAAAAAAAAGACTATTAAAAATTAAACTTTTTTATATTTATGGGGCATAAGCTTGCGAAGGGGGGGGGGGGGGGACCACCCCCCCCCCGGGTTTTTACACTGGGGGGGGAAAAAAAAAAAAGACACCATTTTCCGGGGGGGGGGGGGGGGAGGGGGGGATCTGTATTAATAAATTAATATCTTAGATACGTGATAGTCCCCTTTTATGGGGTTTAATCCGAAAAGATAAACTAATAAGTAAAAAAAAAAGATTAAACTAATAAGTTTTTAAAAGTAAGATCAAACTAATAAATTTTAAAGGTAAAGATTAAATTAATAAGTTTTAAGGGATAAAACTAAAAAAGAAAATTATACACTATAATAGAGTTATAGCTTAATTGGTTAAGCACTAGATAAGATCGATAGTAAGGGTTTAAATCCTCTTGGCCTTAAAAATAAAAAGGCCCTAAACAAGACCTCCCTTAGGGTGGCTCAGGGAATAAAAGCTCTAATCAACAATTTAAAAAGGGCAACTAAAAATTAATTATAAGACTAAAAAAGGACTATAGTTTAAATGGTAAAACGCAGTTTTGATAAGGCTGATAGTAGAGGTTCGATTCCTCTTGGTCCTACAGTAATAAGTTCAGTACAATCATAATTATATTTACTCTTAAGTATTTATTTATAAATGGTTAAATAAATTATTATTGGGGGTTAATACTTATTTTTTATTAGTCAAAAGAATTCCAAACTTAGCTAAAATTTAAAGTTTACGATTACGTCTAATTTAAATTATAATTGATAATTTTATAACATTAAAATTGTCTATTATATTAAGGTTATTGGTTATATAATTTAATACCTCCTATAATATATGATTCTTTTTTATATTTAAAATTATAGACATAGAAGGTTTAATATTCCCTTTTAGACTATTACCAACTTTTTTAAACAAATCTATTAACTTAGATATCTTAACTAATTACTCTGGGAAAGGGTTCCCCTCTAATCAAGTTTATGAAAATTTAGACACCTATAAATTAGATATTCTTTAATATAATAAACCGGTTATATATAGGGTTCATAAAAATCAGGGAAACTTATGTAGGTAGTTCTATAGGCTTTCCAAAAAATTTTAATTCTTATTTTTCTCCCCCTTATTTAATAAGAAGGGATAAGAATTATATATGCAATGTCCTATTTAAAGATGGGTATTCTTCATTTAGTTTAACAATTTTAGAGTATATAAATACTTCTAATCTTTCAAAAGATCATACAAACATTTTAATACTGGGACGAGAACAAAATTATCTTAAAACCCCCGCGTACTATATTTCTAAAATAGCAGGGTCTCATTAGATTATAAACATTCAAAAGAAGCTATATTAAGAATGTTAGGAGGGGATGACCCGATATTTGGTAAAACAGGGGGCCGACGGGGTAAATAATCCTTTCTTTGGGAAACCCTCACAATAGGGACTTTAGAGAAAATGAGTGAACCTAAAAGCGACTTGCATAAATTAAGTATATCTGAAGCTAATATAGGGGATAAAGGTAAGGCACACTCGCAAGAGACACTTATTAAATTAAGTAATGCCAAAAAGGGACAAAACCTCTCTATGTTTGGGGAAGTTGCTATCAATGCAAAAAGGTATATATTCATTAAATAATAAACTTATTAAAGAATGTTCATCAACAAGTGAAGCAGCTAAATGGTTAAATGCACACCTTATAAAAATTAATAGAGATATATCTACTAATAAAGTTTTTGATAATAAATATATTATTCGGGACACAATTTTAAATTAATAATCTATTAATAGCTCATAAAATATAAGCACCCCCCCCTCCCTCTTTCTTTATTTCTTTCTTTAGTTATATTTTAGCTATAATTAAAAAAAATTAAAAATATAAGCACTCTCTAGAGAGGGTTATAGGAGGAGTAACCCCCCAAGATTAGGGGAGTTATATAGATAAGTGAATGTTAATAAGAATTGGATAATTTAAAGAATTTCTTCCAATAGTTGATAAGATCAATAGTAGGAGTTCAAGTCCTCTTGGCCCTAAATAATTTGGTATAAAGCACTAACCCTGTCTATTAAAGGTATTTACCTTAATAGATATATTATGGGGGTGAAACGTGAATTTTTCTGATGAATAAATACCAGGGTCCTAAGGGGGCCAATAGGGTTCCTAAATTTTTAAGACATAGTCGGACCAAATCTGTTAGAGTTTAAAGTTAAGCCTTTGGGGGGAGCCAGACCCTTTTGTAAAAAACTTTTTGGAGCCAATGGTAATATTTAATTTACACTAGGTTTAGTTTTATATTTATACATATAACCCTGGTCCTACTATTTTTATATAAAAGACCACCACCCTTCGACTTGTTAGGTGACTTTTTTTTTTTTTATCATTCTTATTTTATTGATGGGTTAATAAAAGAGGATTATATAGAATTAGGGATTATAGCTTAATCTTGGTAGAGCACATAATTGTCGATTATGAGGATATCGGTTCGAATCCGTTTAATCCCGATAAATTTTAACATAGATCTTATGTAATTCTTAAAAAATAAATAAAAGTTATAACTTTTATTTATTTCACAAATTTTGTTGGCCCCCTAAAAATGGATTAATAATATTTTTTGAGCTTCTCTTTATATATTTTAACAGCTAAAGATGATTATCTTTTCTTAAAAAGAAGAAGAGACAAAACCCCGCCCCTTTCTTCTAATTCAAAAGAAATTACCAGTTAACCGGGGAAATTTTTGGACTCTTAAAAAAAAAAAAAAATTAGTGTCACTAAGGGTACTCCTATTTATGTTTATAATAGTGACGGGGTAACATTAATGAATAGTTTTTCTTCAGCTATTAAAGCAGGGGGGTTTTTTGTTGGTATAATAAACCAATTAAAAAATATGCTATATGTAGAGTATTTTTTAGAAACGAGTGGATTTTTCCTATATCCACGATAGAGGGCCTATTTCTTCTAATAGTATTTCAGATAGCGTTTAATAACTTTAATAACATATGTATATACGTACGGGCGGGAGGGTGACCCTCCCCCGGTAACCCTGTACCCTTTATAGCCCGGGGTTATCGATAGTAAACGACCCGTACCAGCATTTAATATTAGTATAACTCCTGTTGGTATCACGAAAACTGTAACAACATAAGAGTGGGCGATTACGTCCCCTCCAGCGTCCCATGTATTTGAGGGTCAATTACCTGTACAACCAGTTAACACCCCCGGTGGGTTGTCGGCCCCCTAAATAACTCTACTTTTAAGAATTATTAAATTTTGTGTTCTTCTCTATATATAACCTATTAAATAAGGGGGTGTATGGATCTATACAGGGGAATTACTAAGTAATATTATTGGGCAAGTTTATTAAAAGATGAGTATTGCTCTAGGTGGTACTATTTATATCTATAGAGCAGATAAAACCATTCTAATAAATATTTTTTTTTTTT